CTTTCTAACAGTCCCTCGTATCTATTATCTTTTAATTAAAGTGATGTAACGTTAGATGGGAAGCATAGGCTTTGTGAGGTCAACTAAACCGCAACCAGATTTGCTGCCACTTGATTGTAAACATTCTCGATTTTATGAAAATGTTATTACAGCCCCAAATTAGCCAGAAAAACTAAGATTTTTGTACACATTAGCAGCCAGTATTATGTTACACAAGAGTAACGTTACACGATTTGTGTGCTGCATCCATTCACTCAGTCTTCTGTAGCAGGAATCAAATATTTTTCTAAGAATGACTGAAATGCCCACTGCCATGCTAGAGCGGGGAAATTGCTGATCTGTGCTGGGTGCTGAAAAAGTTGATGGAAACACAACAGCTGAAGGAGAAGCCTTGGGAACGTTCCGGAAAGGAAGTTCCTTATACTGAGGGTCAACGCTTTAAAATCAATACAAACACAGCCAAGAGGCTCATCTGGCTGCTTCACCAGATTCCACCACTTTGAAAGAGACTGCCATGTCTCTCAGACAATACCGCGCTGTCCCAGATTACCTCCGGGAATGACGGAAGTTCAGAGTCTCGGAGCACAGAAGAGGGAAACACGCTGACTATTCAACACCATGAACCTCACTAGCCTATGGCTTCATCCCAACCTGGGTCAATGAAAAAAGCAGTTATAAGCAGGAGCGTAACGCTGTGCAGGTTCAGGTTTATTAGCACTCAAGATTATTTAGATTTTTGATATTTTGCTTTGACTCAATACTCTCGAATATCGCAATTTTATATTTTGTGATACTCTATCGATTCTCAAAATCACAGTGTCGACATTTTCAACAAAGTTTTTGACAAACGTCAGCTTTGTGCTTCGTCTAGCATCTCTAAAAGCAGCACAAACTGGTTTCAGTAGGGCTGGATGATCTGAGGAAAATATCTAATTGTAATTTTTCTGACTAACATTGCGACTGCGATTTAAATTGCAATTATTTTTTATAAATTAAGGTTCAGGCTTTTTTTTGCCAAGAAGAAAGGATAACCACTTTTTCTGGCTTGAGGCTTGACCCCTGGGTGCAGTGTGCCAGATAAGTTGTGGTTGTGATGTCACAACACATGGAGGTTTAGTTGCCTCTGAAAGATCTAACTCATCTATAGGCAGTTCACACGTTCTGTGTTATTAGGGTAAATTTCCCTACTTAAAACTTAAGACAAGTTTCTGATAATATAGGCTTACAGTTTTTAAAAATTGCAGCTCTTGAGATTTGAAAACTGCACTCTCTCAAATTAAGATTACAAAATAAGAGCGATTTATGCTTCAGCCATCCAAGCTGTGTGCAAAAGCGCTCAAACTCTACGTTCTCCTTTCATTGTTCTCCCACACAGAAAGTAGCAAGGTCACTATTCCGCCATTTTGTGAGGAGCAAACATGTCCAACACTTCAACATGTGGCCCATGTGTTTATTAGTTTAGTTATTTATTTTTCATGGCACGAACAACAAAGCAAAAAATGTAAAGAAATAAAGTGTGCGAGGGGCGCAGACTCAGATATTTTGCCTCTCGACTGCGTCTCAGACCAGTCCGAGTTTATGAAACACATTTTTTTGGCCTGACTGAGGGTAATCTAGTTGTAAATTGGTCAGCGGCATAAACCGAACAGACTTCTCCAACAGCCAACGAAAACAGAGCACGAAAGAAAAAAAAATAAAGCAAAAAAGGCAAAGACACACGTATGCAGTGAAGCTTTTTAAATGAGCCGAGTTTAAGGCACAAGCACAATCGAGTGCATATACATGAAACCCTAAAACTATTAAACTAATTATATCTTTACATCCATTATCCTCACTTAAACATGTATAACTGTTGCATCTGTTGGGACTTTAGAAGTTGTGTAGTGTATTCAAGGCCTAGTAGTCCTCTGAGCTACAGATATCATAAGATGCTGAATGTTACTGATGATGCTCTTCTATTTTCCTCTAAGTGAATTGCGGCTCAGAGGGGTTCAGATCAGGTGATTGACTTGGCCAGTCAAGAACATTCCACTTTTTGGCCCCTTGTTTCTGAGGCAATTTTAGGTTCTCAATCCTGCTGCGAGGTGAAACTCAAGGTCTAGTGAGTTTTGAGGCATGTGGCTGGATCTGAGCAGCTACAGATGCTTCCGTTCACTTCAGAGCTCATCCTGTCAACCCTCACGTCATCAATAAAGGCAACCAGCTTAGTTCCTACCAAGTTAAACAGGTCTACAGTCAACGGCTTCTGAGCTGAGGTGCTTTGCTTTGGATCCAGACCAGCTCCTCCATTTTTCACAGACATATAAAGACATATAAAGGGTCAAGGTTCTTGCTTTTGACTGCTGCAATAACGTTGTTTGTTAATGATGCCTTTAGAGGGCAGCGGGGAGCGACATTTGTTTATTTGATGTTTGTTACTTACTCGTTTAGAGGGTGATGGCAAACAACGTTTGTTTATTTGATATTTGTTACTGACTCGTTTAGAGGGAAATGGCAAACGACGTTTGTTTATTTGATGTTTGTTAATGACTTCTTCAGAGGGCGGCGGTGAGCAAAGTTTGGTTATCCGATGTTTGTTAACGACGCCTTTAGACAGCGGCGGTGAGCAAAGTTTGTTTATTTGATGTTCGTTAATGATTTATTCACAGGGCAGCGGTGAGTGATGTTTGCTTATATGGTGGTCATTAGTCATTAATTAATTAATGGCAGCACTAAGCGACGTTTGTTTATTTGAGCACGAGCTGTATCTGTCATTAATTGGGAGCTACTAGGCATCGATGAAGCAAGATAGCTAATCAACCAATTGGTAAACTTTAATAGTTGCATACAATTAACGAAAACAGAACTGCTAACTGCAGGCATCTATACAGCAATTATTTATCAGCTGAAATTTCATGACTATGACCGCCCTATTCAGAGCTAACTTTAGGATGAACTTGGCTTCAACCTCAGCTACCAAACAAACACCAACCCAGCTCTGCTCCTCAGGTTCAACAGTGGCTGAGGAATATGAGCCGCCGATGCAGATCATTTTGCTTTCTTTCTTCAGATATGCATAAACTCCACAGCTGGAGCTGAACAAACCCAAGAGCCCACCACAGAGGAACCAGGGAAAACACACAGCTCGTCTCACTTTCCTCCTTCAGCTGTATCCCTGCATTCCAGAGGGGCACACGAAATTAATTTATCTCTAGGTGTGGAAAAACAAACCGAAATATAATAGATACCTTTGGAAATGCTGGCTGTTCCACTTCTCCGGCCTACGTCATACACAATGAGACTCGGAGTACAGCCAACACGACTAAATAAGGAAACCTGGAACAGCCAAAAACAGGGACTGAAGTTTTGTGTTTTTAGTTCAGAGGATCTTGAATCACTTAGCGAATGACGGCAAAGGGGGAAATGGTGCACAACCTTTCGCAAATTCTTCTCTAAGGCAGATAATGAGCGGAGAACCTCCACTGCAGCTGAACTGCAGTTATCTCTGGAGAAACGGGGCGAGTGCTGGACCTGGTTTCACTCAAATAAATCTCCCAAACCCCACGGAGTACTAACTCGGGTTTGGAATGCCTTCCTCATGGAAATGCAGATCCACAAGCCAGTAACAAGTCAACCTCAGAGACTAAAAGCAACAAGCAAGCTGGCTCCCAGCCCGAATTTTGTTTAGACAGCACACCATCAGTAATAATAGCCCTCCGACGGTTCGTTAGCAGTTCCACTTCCAGTTACGCAACTACTCTCAGACTGGCTTGTGGCGAGACCGATGTATACTGGCTGGCTGATATTGACAACCCAGTGGAGTTATCGGTATCTGCGACAACGCCACCAATAATGTGCCGAATAACAGCTCCATCACCAGCGTTGAAATATTTATATTTAGTTCGACGTGAACAACCACCTGGAACACTAGATATGGACAGCAGTGGTGAAAATCACTGTCCAGGAAAGCTCACATTTTTATGCTTTTGGGGACAATCAAACCAGTAAACAACATACTTGATGTTGCCTTCAATAACTTCAAGAACCAATCCTTAAAACACCCCAGGACCATGGGAAAAATAGTCTAATTCAGTTGTGCATGAAGTTCTTTCAAAATTTAAAGCACACGTGTACAGACAATTCTGATTTTAGTCCAAAGAATAAAAGTAAATACATCTCTATGATGCATATAATAACAATAACAATAACCCCCAACACTACAACCCCTCCCCTAACACTAGAACCCATGCCCTAATGCTACAGCCCCTGCCCTAACGCTACCGCCCCTCCACTAAAACTACAGACCCTCCCAACCCTACAGACCCTCCCCTAAAACTATAACCCCTCCCCTACAACTACAGACCCTCCAGTACAACTACAGGCCGTCCTCTGACATCATAGCCCCTTCCAAACACTATAACAGTATGAAAAGTACAGCGCATTAGCATCAGTGGTTTTCCCACTTGATTGCATTAAATGGTGCAGCAGTTACATTCTGGTGAAAGAAGCTGAAGAGAGGCTGCACCTTTCCTGTGAGTGGGCGTGGTTTCAGGACCTTCAGCGGACATGCCCCCAGCCTTTCAGAGCAGAGAATACAGCTTATTTTTTCACAATTTTGAACCTAATTTTATATACTTGCCGAATTTTTTAATCATTCAAATTTGGCTGGGTGGTTAATAGCACATTTTTCAGAGGCGTGAAACTTCTTTAAAGTGAATCTAGGGTTAGGTTAGTTAAATTATACTGGAAAATTGCTTTTATAAAATTCATTTGGAACAGTATGATTACAGTAAAGTCCATCTGCCCAACCAAAAATTATTAAATGCTGAACCCTAAAGAGTTTGACATTTACAACAGATCATACCAGCCAGTAAAACACTGTTTAACTAACATTTTAATTTGATACAGTAATTTAAGACAGAAATACCAAACATAAAATCATATCCTCAAAATTGGTATTGTTATTAGTCACAAAAATGTTCAAATCACCTGTATTGTACATGTGTATGCGTTAGTCTTACCCTGAAGCATGCATCTGTAGGCGGATTCGGAAATGGCGTAGATGTGTGGCGGCATTTCGTGCCTCTTCTTCCCTCTGTACATCTCAATGATGTTCTCCGAGTAAATGGGAAGGTTTTTGTATGGGTTTATCACCACACAGAAGAGTCCGGAATAAGTCTGTCAAATAAAATAAAGCAGTTTTAGTAATGAAGTAATGAAGTGCTTTGGAAGTTCTTCTGATATCTGAGTGTGGAGTAGGGCTGAGCAATATAACAATATTTATCGATATCGCGATAAATTACATCACAATATGCTTTTCTGAGCACATTATGGATATCGTCAGTACTTAAAGACATCCCACTTGCACTTTCATTCATAATTGGACCTGTTTAGTTGAATTTAGTGTAGCAAAGTATGAGATATAATGCTGATTAGGGGTGGGTGAAAAAAATTGATTCTTAGATGCATTGCGATGCGGACGATTCTGAATCGATTCACAAATGTCAAAAATCGATTTTCTACATATTTAATTTAGAACTTAATGTCGACGGAACGCAAAAGGCGGAACTTGGAAGTGCAGCGCCCGGACAGTCTGTGGCGACACATAACAAAAACACAACTGGATGAGCGAGAAATCCGACCGGCTCCCTCTGTATTAAAAGCTAGCTTAGGTCATGAGTTGACAACCCAAATGTTAAGAAGAGCCATTTTATCATTTCCTTGGGAGCCACAGTATTTTATGTCCAATATGTGTCAATATGTGCTAATGTCCTAGTATAGGTTAAAAAATATGAACGAAAACGCAGATGAATTCGAACGAGAAACTGACTTCATTTTCGCAACTTTGTGTTTGACAGTCTCTCATTGCAGATTTAACATTCCAGGAAACCAACTGCGCTGCTTATAAATGCGAATAAGTCTATTCAACTCCAAATGTTCGTCTTAGCTAAATCTCTCTCTTTGCTTTTTTGTTAGCAACTAGCCAGGCGAGACTGCGTTGCTATGTGACCTGAAGTCTGCATGCCAGTTCTCAGACATTGAGAACCAGGGCTTTTGCGCTATGTTGCACACTTTGGAGCCACATCACTTCCATTTGTTTTATTAATAAAAGATATTGGAAGTAAATTCATTATGGACCATTACACATACTTTGCTTTAAAAGTACCAAGTCCTCACACAGTGACAGTGAGAAAACAAATCCTGTATAGAAAAAAAAGGATGCATCAAGACGCATCGATAATCGTTTTATAATCACATCGCAGCCCTGTGAATTGTAATAGAATCGAATCGTGAGGTGCCTAGACATTCCAACCCCTAATGCTGAATATAAATCACTGCCTTAATTTTTTTTTTTTTGTATTTTTTAAATTTGGTATTTTGTCAGATGTCGGAAAAATACGTTGAAATTACAGTAAACGTTTAGGTCACGTGACCATTTAACGAGCAGTGTTTAGGTGACGCTGGGTTGCTTTACTAAAATATCTGCATTTTACTCACTTCACTGCATTTATAACATTACATTTCTTTGTAATGGTAATGTGGACAGATTTAGTCCCAAATTTGTGTCTTTTATAATTGCATATCAACAGCAACAGATATACATATAACATTGTCGGATACTAGTAATGGCAACTACTGAATAAAATCAGTATATATACACAAACATATATGTATATATTTATTCCCCATTCATTGTGATTTTTCCTCACCAAAATTGCTATTTAATGCAATTATTTTATATAAATTAAAAATTACTGAAATTTCCAGGCCCGGTTTTTGCCAAGACCAGAATACACCTTTTCCAGCAGGAAGCCTGAACTCTGAATGCGTCACACTGCCAGTTAGCTGTGACAGTTGTGATGTCACATACAGCACATTGGTGTTTCGTTGCTTCTAATTGGTCTAACTCATCTACAGCCAGTTCACCAGCTCTGTGTTAGTGTTAGATTTTCCCATTTAAAACTTATGACAACATTGTTGATAACAGACTATAATAAAAATTGCAGCTCTTGCGATTTGAAAATTGCTTTCTTTCAGATTGCGATTAATCAATAAACCCTAATAACAGTGTTATCAGAGGGCCATCACTAAAAAAAAAAATAAGGACATTTTATAAGTAATAGCAAAACAAATGGCCCCAAATTTGACTGCACTTCAGTATTCAAATAAATATCCCTCATATATTTAAGCATGTATGGGTTTTTATTATTCATCAATGACCAGCAACGTCTCTGTAAGCTTTTCAACAACAGTGCTGCACGGGCAAACAAACACGGACAGTACTGTAAAACGCTGATTTTGTGATGCGCGTAATGTACATTAGATTTAGTGGGTTTTTTTGGGAGGAGGGCGTCTTAAGGCTGCTGGATGCAGACGGATGGAGGAGGGCAGGCCAGGAGAGACATAATCCCTGTCTGCTTATAAAGCTCTGAGAATCTGCTGATAGTGGGGGGGCTCTGAGGATAGAGCCGTCTCCCCCACATCCCCTCCACACCAGACAACAGAGACCAACAGCCAAACTCCACTATGAAGCAGCACAGTGACTTAGAAGAACCTGCAGGCTTGTCTGCTCCGACTCGGTGGGAAAGCAAAACACATCTAACAGTTTAAAAGAGCCTAAACGACTGGCGTCTGAAGCTCTTCCTCCTCTTTTCTCTCACACTTGCTCTTCTCTGCTTCCATTTCCTGCATTGTACCCCGATCGCAGGGATGCACTGGTTATGGGAAGCGTGGGTCGATGCGCAGATCCGATACCCCCCCCCCATGTACATTGGGGTGGATATTTTATCATTATCATAAATTGTGTCACAGCATGCTTTCTGAACGTATTGTGAATCTTGTTCAGTACTTAAAGAGCACTGAAAAATAAAGAATAATTAGGCCTTTTAATTACAATTAGAGCAGCGCAGTTTGTAAAACAATAATAAAAAAAATTACTGTAATTGTAGGTTTTTTATTGTTATTATAACTATTAGTATTATAATTATTTTTCTGTATCAATCTCAGACAGATATTGGTGTGCATATCATGTAAATGTCTTCAAGTATTATGATAATATTTTCTAATTTTTAATATTTTTATTTAAAAAAGTCAGTTTGTGAAATTTCTTCCCCTGTCAACTGTAAGTGCTATTACCGTGACATGGAAGCATCCAGGAGTAACAACAGCTCAGCCACAAAGCAGTAGACAACGCAAACTTCGCCGAGTGCTGAAGCGGACAGTGCCTATCCTCTGTTCAGTCATTCACTAAAGAGTTCTCATTTGCCTCTGGAAGCAACATCAGCATCACTGAGCGTTAGGAGCTTCGCAAAATGGGTTTCTATAGCCAAGCAGCTACACACAAGCCTAAGACCAAATGCACAATGCCAAGCGTCGGACGAAGTGGTGTAAAGCACGCCGCCTCTCGACTCTGGAGCAGTGGAAATGCATCCTGTGGAATGATGAAACATGCTTCTCTATCTGCCAGTCTGATGGACGAGTCTGGGTTTGGTGAATGCCAGGAGAACATTACCTGCCTGACTGCATTGTGCCAACTGCAAAGTTTGGTGGAAGAGGGATAATGATATGGGTTTTTTTTTCCAGGGGTTGGCCTAGGCCCCTTAGTTCCAGTGAAGGGAGATCTTAGACATTTTGGCCAATTGTATGCTTCCAGGTTTGTGGGAACAGTTTGGGGAAGAACCTTTTCTGTTCCAGTATGACTGAGACCCAGTGCACAAAGCAATGTCCATAAAGGCATGGCTGACTTGACTGGCCCACACAAAGCCCTGACCTCAACCCCATCGAACACCTTTGGGATGAACTAGAACGGAGACTGAGAGTCAGGCCCTCTCGTTCAACATCAGTGTCCGACCTCACAAATGCTCTTCTGGATGAATGGGCAAAAATTCCCACAGACACTCAAATCTTGTAGAAAGCTTCCCAGAAGAGTGGAAGCTGTTACAGCTGCAAAGGGGGACAAATTCCATATTATTGCCTATGGATTTAGAATGGGATTCATAAAAGCTCCTGTAGGTGTAACGTGTAGATGCCCCAATACTTTTGTCCATTTAATGTATACATACATATATACACGCAGATCTGATTGACTCCTAGCGATATGTTAGCTGCTTGCCCACCCCCCCCTTACTGACTCAGTAAGTTTCTCTAGAGTGGAGCGTTTCACACCAAACCACTCTGAACGACTCTGTTTACATCTTAACCAATTAATTATGAAGAAATTTTGAAAAGTTGGTGGAGTTCCTTTTTAAACATGAATCTCATACACAGACATTGCACTGTGGTTTATTACACAAAGTAGGATTTCTCAGTTTAGCTGAACAACTTGAGCCCAAAGTCAGGAAAAAGCTCTTTTCCTATTGGACAGGTTTGACTTTAGGCTGAGAAGTTCTGCTCTGTGAAATGACATCATGTTAGGAAGCGAACGCAGGCCATGCTTCCAGCCCAGACTCAGACAGACCAGCTGGAGACGAGAGAAACCTCTTGAGAATGTGTTTACTACAGAGCTGCTGGACTTCCTGACGCAGAGCCAAGCCTTCTCAGTCCAGCGGCAACACTTAGAGCTGAATAAATAAATAAAATAAAAAATGTAAAATATATCTAAATTTCTCCACTTGGCTTGAGCTAACTGACTACAGTCTACAATGAACCATTTCACACCAAACCACGCTGAACGATTCTGTTCATAATTTTGGAAAAAACTGGTTGGTGGAACTCCGCTTTAAATCTACACTCTTAGAAAGATGGTTCTTTAAGGGTTCTTTAGGAAAGAACATGGTTCTAAATAGAACTGTAAACACTCAAAGAACCCTTTGCAGGATTAAAGGCTTTGAGGTTCTACACAGACAATACAAGGTTCATGACAGGGACCTTGCATCATCTATACAGAACCTAAAAGCTACCCAAAAGGGTTCTTCTACTGTTACGATGTCAAGCTTGTTACAATGGAAGAACCCCTTTTTGGTGGTATATTGAACCCTTGCTTCTTGTTCGAATTCTCCCGTTTCACCTTAAACGGTGCAGCAGTTACACTCTGGTGCCTCAGGCACTGTTTAAGGCATTTTAGTGTATCAGGAAATCATCTGGAGTGATCTCCAAATTATTGATGTTCGTCTTAAATCTCTCTCTTTGCCTTTTCGTTAGCTACTAGCTAGGTGAGATTGTTATCTGCGTTGCTATGG